TTGCAAGGTTCTTAAATTACACATTTCTGAAATGCATGGGATAGAGATTTCTTTTGAAGTAAATTTAAAAAAGAATATGAAGCTGATTATGTTCCAATTCCAATATTTATCAAGTGCCACCTTTTAGATAATCCATTCCAGATAATAGGTTGAAGTAGAATAATAACCCTACACAAATATATATATGTAGTTATTCCCTAAGCACAAGAAACCAAACTCACTTATGAATGCAGTTTCCACCTGTTTAAGTTTTTACTGCATTTTCAGTAGAGTTCCCAGCTGGGGGGCAGCGCTGCCCATCTTATTTCTAACTCATTCTGAGCCCCCAGCTTGGGCTAGCCTGTAGTATTCCCAGTCCAGTCACTGACTTGTTCTGAAGCCATTTTGATATTGAATTGTGAGCTTCCGTTCTATTGAATGCTTCTGATCTAACTATCAGCCCATCCTCTGACTTTTCCTCTTCCCTGGCCCCTTTCTAGCTATTTTGCCCCCTAAATTGCATCTGCCTAGGGAGGAAGTGCCTTTACCTGAGACGGGGCTTCTGAAGCCTTGATGTGCATGCGCTTCACCTGGAGATCTTTATTGACTTGCAGAAACTGAATTGGCCAGGGTGAGGCTGAGATTTTGCATAAAGAGCTCCACTGGATGCCAGTGCTGATAGTCAGCAGACCACCTGACATTCTTCTGATTTAATAGTTACACCTGGTCATGAATTTGGCCTCTTTCATTTGCAAATTTGATCTACTGGGCTCTGGCATCTCAGGCTCTGGGATCTGCACTCCTCACACAGCCAGGTTGTTCTCTCTCAGTCCAACCACACTGCTCTTGAGACAGGCCTTCTTGGGAGACTAATTCACCTGCCTTGTCTCCTCTGGGCTGTGCTTTGCTGCTGCAGGGAGTCAAGGACCTGCTGGGCTGTGGGCAACAGCTACTCAAATATGCTAACTGTATGCTCCCCTCCACAGTTTCCTTTCTGCAGCCTCATCTTCATTCCCTCTGACAAGAGACGTTAACTCTTACAGCATCTTTTCTGTTCAAAAAATCTTTCTCTGTCTTGAATATCTATAGTACTGCATTAGGTGGAAAATAAATATAGAAATATAATGGGGCCACATATATAATTTTAAATTTCCCAGTATCATTAAAAAGAAGAAACAGGTGAAATTGATTTGAATATATTTTATTTAATTCAGTGCATCAATAACAAAATATTAGGATGCGTAATCAATATAAAAACTGTTAGTGATATGTTTTAGATTATTTTTTCTAACAAAATCTTTGAAATCTGGTATTTTATACTAAAAACATCTCATTTTTGACTAGCCACATTTCAAGTGTCAAGTGGCTACCATATTTAACAGCTCAGTTCTAATTTATGCTTAGAAGATCAGAAAGCCAAGCCTTCATCTTTTCTCAATATACTTCTTTGTTCTGTTTTTGTCAGCTCTAATGAGTTATAATTTACATCTATTAAATCAGTTTTAAAGCATACAATTCTGTGAGTTTTGTTATGTATAGTCATGCAACCACCAGCACAATCATTTATAAAGTGCATTTCCATCACCCCCAAAAGTTCCTTGTGTCCTGTTGCAGTTAATCCCCTTCTCCCAACCCTGGGCTTTGGCATCCACTAATCTGTTTTCAAATAGTACAGTTTTATTTTTTCTAGGATTTCATATAAATGGAACCATACAATGACTTACCTTTGGTGTCTAGTTTCTTTCCCTTTGTATCATGCTTTTGAGATTAATCTTGTTGTATCAGTTCCATTTTAGTGTTTGGTAATATGTCATTGTATGCATATACCACAATCTGTTCATTTACCAGTTAATAGTTTTATGGATTATTTCCAGTTTTTGGCTATTATTGCATTACATTGCATCTATGAGGCAGAAATGCCCCGTGGCCTGTCCTGTACATGAAGGTCACAACTGGGACCCCAGGGCTTAGTGTGACTTTGATAAGGCAGTACATTTGTGAGTTGGCTCTTCTTTAATGTCCCAGACAAGACTCCAGCTAGGTAAGCAGAGCAAATGGCTTCCAAGGAAAGTGATTAAATGCAGGAACACACACTCACTCTATACACACATAAGAAAAATGTCTTTAAAAAATTCTCACTGTGATTTAAGACAATGGTAATATAATTTCACAACTGAGAACTTCTAATAATGAGAATAAAATAGTGTTTTTCAATGAGAGCATCTAAATTCAGCACAAACAATAGAGTTAGAGTAAGTTCTAGCATCTCTAGTTGTGTAGTTAGAGAAGCTTCTAGCTTTCTTAACTGACCCTTGCCCCAGGCACACAGAGACAACTGGCTCAGGTCAAGCTTTCTCACATTGTCTTTAAATGCCATCTCATTAAATCTTGTTATAAATTGAAATAGTGGATTTTTCTCCTAGTTCTAAAAGAAGTAAGAAGAAATGAAAAGGGGTAAGAAAGTGATTCATGAATTCTTATAACAGATATTTATATAGAGCTATCTCTCTACCAGATTTTGCTCTGTCCCCGCTAAAAATATTAAGAGGCCCTTTTCCTCCTGGTGGCAGGTAAGAGCATTGAAGGATCAGAGAGCAGCACCAGCATAAGTGTAACCATAACTAGTTTTTATTGAGACTATTCTCAATAAAAATTACCTGTGCATTGGCTCAGGTAATTATTACAACTATACTCCTAAGGGAGGAGTTGATCTCAGCAATGCAGAAAAGATGGAGCCACATCTCAGATCAGGAATCATTCCAGTGTTCTAAAACTAGATCAATAAATTCAGGATTTAGACCTGGGTCTATGTTACTCTAGTACCAGTGCCGCCTTTTCTGCCCTAGACTACCAGGGAAAAGGAAGCAGCCTAGATCTGGGATGTGCTGCCAGGAATGAAGAAGAGTTGGGCTGGGGAGGGAGCCTTACAGATACCTTAGGAAGAGCTGTAGGATGCTTCTAAGTGCTAAGAAGAACAGGGCTATCATATGAATCAGCACAGCCAAAAAATCAGCACAGGCATGTCATGACCTGAGTGCCCTTGCAGGTGGTGTGGGTAGCATGAAGAAAACATTCCCTTTAAGAACGAGATGGGTCACTGGTTAATAACCTGAGATTTGGAGCTGCATAACACTGGATTATAATTTTTACTTTGTCACTTACTCACTCTGAGACTTTCGGCAGTTAAATACCTTCTTAAGAAATTCATCTTTCACCTTCAAAAATAGGTATTATTAAACGTCCCAATAGAATTATTGTGGAATTTGCTTTTTTTTTTTTTTTTTTTACAGTGTCTGTAAAGAGTTCAGCCATTGCCTAGCACTTAAGTGATCAGAAAATGGTATTGGTGATGATGCCTTCCCGTTACTGTTCTTGAAACAAATACCTTCATGCATCATTATCTCCCCACACCAGCCCACAGAACCATGCTTGACTCTTTAGTCTTCTCCCATGGGCACATATCTTCTTGGGGTCCTGCACCAGAATGCATTGCGGCCTCCATCACCCCAACTTTTCCCCTTTCCCCCAGCACATGGGGCCTTTAAGACTCCTGTCAAAGTTTATGATGGGCCGTGGTGAAATTTCTTAATCAAACAGGACCTTTCTCACTTCCACACCCCTAAAGCACTGGGTCTGTGCCTGACTTTTACCACCTTTACCACCGAATGTCTGGTGAAAGTTCTGAGGTTCAGGACAGAGCCTTGAACTAGGACTGTGGACATGTTAGATTCTGCCAACTCTGACTTACAAGATGTTTGACTTTATAATGTCACTTAATGTCTATTGCTTTAGCAAAGGGCCAAAAATACTCTTATTTATTCAGAGTTTTTCTGTGAGGGATAAGGAAAGCAGGGGAATGTGATTTCTAAATCACAGTTAGGTATAAAAGTGTTGTAAAATGTTACCTCAGGGTTATTATGGTCATTGTTTGTTCGGTGTTTCTGGGAAGGTGACCATGAGGGATGAGAGGGCTCTGTGAGGAACAGAGCTGTTAGAAGGTGCAAGTGTCTTCACAATAATGATTCTCATGGGAAAACTCATGACAAAGGAGGTTCTGGATTTTCATTCATCAAAAGTTGAGGACCTTACACACTTGAACCTAATATAACACTGTATATGAACTCTACTGGAATTAAAATTTTATTTTATTTTTTTAAAGATTTTATTTATTTATTTGACAGAGAGAGACACAGCGAGAGCAGGAGCACAAGCAGGGGGAGTGGGAGAGGGAGAAGCAGGCCTCCCGCGGAGCAGGGAGCCCGATGCGGAACTCGATCCCAGGACCCTGGGATCATGACCTGAGCCAAAGGCAGACGCTTAACCGACTGAGCCACCCAGGCACCCCTGGAATTAAAATTTTAAAAAAAAGTTGAGGACCTGTGTGTAGACACTGCTATATCTGAAGATACAGTAATGAACAAAAACAATCTCTGATTTCTAGAGCTTATATTCTAGTGGGAGGATTCAGGCAATAAAAGATATATATTAGGTGGTGATAAAAAGGAAAATCAAGCAGGTTAGTATATGGAGAGTGATTGGGTGGCCATGTTTTAATTAGGCTAGACAGAGCCAACTCTTCTGATAAGGGAGCATGTAAGGAGAATGTGGAATGAAGTCAATGAGTCAGGCAGATATTAAGGTGAAGGGTCTTTCTTGAAGCAGTAACAGCAAGTGCAAACATCCTGAGGCAGCAGTGTGTTTTGGTGCTTTTAACAGTGAGGGTGTGTTTTGGTGGATGAGAAAAGATCAAACAGATGGTGGCTCACTCAAGGCTACTCCTCTCACAGGCTTCAGTTGGACCCTCCATCCAGTAGGAGTGAAGGAAAATCATAATCCTTGTTCTAATGAGGGTACAAATTGATGTCTAATGTGATCTGGAGGTAAATAACATGTTTGAAGCTTGAATAAGAAGCCCTTGTGACCTCAGGTATCTGACCTATTGGTTCAAGATACTCAGCATCCTTTTATTCACACTCATTTCTTACCCTGACCCCCCCCCCTTTTTTTTAACCCATCTACCCAGAATTCTGTAAGCAAGAAGCATCTTAGAAATCCCCGCTGGGCAGGCAGGAGCTAGGAGAGAAGCTACAATGACCTCAGCGGTCCTGGTGGACATACGAGATGAAGTGACCTGCCCCATCTGCCTGGAGCTCCTGACAGAGCCCCTGAGCATAGACTGTGGCCACAGCTTCTGCCAGACTTGCATCACGGGGAACAGCGCAGAATCAGTGTTGGGCCGAGAAGGGGAAAGCAGCTGTCCTGTGTGCCAGACCAGCTACCAACCTGGGGACCTGAGGCCGAATCGGCACCTGGCCAACATAGCAGAGAGGCTCAGAGAGGTGGTGTTGGGCCCTGGGATGCAGCTGAAGGCGATTCTCTGTGCACACCATGGAGAGAAACTCCAGCTCTTCTGTAAGGAGGATGGGAAGCTCATTTGCTGGCTTTGTGAGCGGTCTCAGGAGCATCGTGGTCACCACACGGTCCTTATGGAGGAAGTTGCCCATGAGTACCAGGTAGGATTCCAAACGGAGGGAAGGTAGGAGATTGTAACTTTCCTTCATGCTGTAATCTAATTTCTTTGTCGTTTTCCCACTTACCTAGAGGATGAACCTAGAAAATGCCCCTCTGCCCAAGAGTAGAGATTTTATCTCTTTCTTGCTGCTCAAGACCTACTCCACATGAGTAGAGGTTGCTGCGAAGCGTAGCTAGGGGGCTTGGTGGATTGGGTGTGGGTGATATGGCGGCGGTGAGAGGGAAGTCCTGCATGGCCAGGTTCTCTCCCTGGGAGGAAAGAGAATTAGCCTGTGCCCATTGGCTTTTTGTGCACAGCCCATGTGCATAAAAGAACCTTAGTCCTTCTCAGTTCTTCCCCATTCACTCCATTCTGGGCACAGAGATGAGTTGGTGCTTGACCCTGCTTGCCCTGATGTTTCTTTAAGGAGAAGTTCCAGGAGTCTCTGAGGAAGCTGAGGCTAGAGCAGCAGGAAGCTGAGAGACTAACTGCTGTTATCATAGGGAAGAGGACATCCTGGAAGGTAAGAGAGATTCTTCCTGAAGGTGTCCTGGGACAGGAATCGGGGCAGGGCATGGGAACCCAGGTCCTGTCTGTTCCCTTTGCCTAATCCTTCACTGCAGCCCTTCCCAACAAGGGTGTTACTTGTGGTGCAGGGATGGGGAAGGGGGAGATAGAGAATGAACATATCAAAAGGAATTCAGGTTTTTAAAGATAGTTACATAGAGGAACCGTGGCCATTGGCAGCCCCCAATTCCTGATTCCAGACCTTGTTCTAGTTTCAAGCTCTGAAAGCTCCTGGAAAGACAGGTCACACACCAGCCAATCACTCCCACCTGGGTACTCAAAATTGGAAGGGGAGGCCGATGCAGAGGCACGGGAGGCCAGGGAGGTGGTTTGGAATCTAGACCTCACCCAGGAGCCACAGTCTTATGTCTTGGAGGCCTAGATAAGGTAGCCTGGGGCTCATGGTCTGGGAAGAGCTGAAGAGAGAGCAGAAGGGAAGAACAGGTTCTGCAGGACTTTCTTCCCATCTTTACTCCTCCTTTCCTGGTGAGACCTGGCCAGGAAAGCAGTGCTGAGCCTGACTCTCCACCCCCTCCACCCAAGAGCAGAGACCCTCAGCTCAACAGATGAGCAGCCTTTTTCTCTTGCATGTTCCTGAAGAATCAGATGGAACCCGAGAGACACAGGATCCAGACAGAGTTTAATAAGTTGAGAAGCATCCTGGACAAAGAGGAGCAGCGACAATTGAAAAAGCTGGAGGAGGAAGAGAGGAAGGGGCTGAGTATTTTAGAAGAGGCTGAGAATGAGCTGGTCCAACAGAGCCAGTCACTGAGGGAGCTTATCTCAGATCTGGAGCTTCGGTGTCAGGGGTCAGCAATGGAGCTGCTGCAGGTAAGACCCGTGGAGGAGCCCCCAGTCTGAGAGTCAAGGCAAAGGGAGACTAACTTTCCTTCCCTTCTTACATGGGACTCATGACCTGGTAGGGGCAAGAAAAAGATTTATTTGGCCCTGTTGTGCCTCTTGCCTATTAAACTGTGCGGAGGTCATGGGTAAAGCATAGGATAATTAAAGTACAAATGCTAAGGCACTGTCTCATTTTTATTTATTAAATATAAAGGGTAGTCCAAAAGCTTATTTGATATTGTGGAGAAGATCTATTATATCCACTGATGTTCTAGAGCTGCATTTCTGAATCTCAGCACTATTGATGTTTTGAGCTGGAAATTCCCTGTCATGAGGGTCTGCCTGGTACCTTTTAGGACGTTTAGCAGCATCCCTGGCCTCTGCCTACTGGATGGATGTCAGTAACATCTCCCGTCAGCTGTGACAACCCAGAATCCTCCAGATATTGCCATATGTCCCCTTTCCCCCTGTTGGGATTCACTGGCCATTTTGCACCTGTTGTCTCTGAGCCTGTGTTGGGATTTGTTGGGTACTTTTCACCCCAGCTTAGTCACAGGCAAACACACCAACTCAAGTACTTAGAGATTCTGTATGTTATCACGATTCCTTCTTTGCTTTTACTCTCGTCTCTAGGGCAGAATCATTTACCATGTTGTAATAGAAGTTTGAACGGGTCTTTTCAAGGCACAAAGAAGACTGGGTTTTGGGGTGTGTGTGTGTACGTGTGCCTGCTTCATCTCAGATTTGGAGAGATTTGATGCAGGAGTTTGAACCGAAGTTGAAATCTGAGCAGGTGTTTTCTACGTAGAGGGAAAAGTGTGACTGAAGTGGAAACAGGATGTACTTGGAACATTCTGGAAACTTCAGGCTGTTCCTTACTCTCTGTTTGCCTTCTTGCTTTCCTCTTGCCCTCCCTTTGTTGGTGGAATAATCACTTCTTTACTTATTCTTGGGCCCTAGTATTGGGGTCATGGGGTAGCTACATTCCACCTATTGGAGCTTTTCTCACGTGCTGCTTCTGGTTTCCCATCTTCGTTTTATTCTTCTTGCCCTTTTTCTTCAGCTTGGACATGGGTTACCCTAACACTTCTCCCTGCCCCCATTCTAGCCCCTCCACAGATTCTTCAAGCTATAAAAATTCCTCCCTAAGTGCAGAGGGATCATCAGTTTGTATGATTCACCCAGGCCCCTATGTAGACCCTCATACCTGTTCATATGACTGTCCAGTGGGTCTTTTCACTTGAGTGCTGTTTCACAGTCAGGTTTTCTAGAGCTCGCCCAGCACAAACACAGTCTTCCTCTTCTCCATATCTATGTGACATTGTTGCATGTTAAGATTTGATAGCCCATGCAAGTTTGCAGCTTTCAAGTTTCAATGTGACCCTTGAGAATAAAGGTAATGCAAGAGAAGGAGCCAAGAAGTGGCACCCGGATTTGGCCATTTGAGTTCTTCAGTACAACCATGCCTTAAGGCTGATGGCAATCCTGGATATTTGGTGTAAACTGACACATCCACCCCCTCTACTGCTTTCCATATTCAAGCCAGTTTGAGTTGTGTTTCTGTCAAATGCCACCAAAAGTAGCCCCAGCACAGAGAAAATAGTTATTCTTGTGTTCCGTAGATCAAGCCGTTGGCCTTTCCTTCAGTCAATGTGGTGTGTAGAGCAGAAGTTAGACCAAGCAGGAGGCCATGAGGCAGTTCTGCTCCAGGGAGGCCGGCAGTGGCTGTGATGACCGTCAAGAGCAGGTGGCTAAAAGAAGGGGACTCGCTTGGTCTGAGATGGGACATCAGGGTGAATATAAGGTAGTTTTTAGGATCATGTTTTGTCTAAATTTCGTGATTAAATGGATGCTGGCAACACTGAAGAAGATTGAAGGTAAGAGACCTCCCGGTTGCAAGAAAAGTAAGGTTTTTGTAGTTTTTTTTTTTTTTTAATGTCTTGAGTTTGTGGTGCCTGTGGCTCATTTGCTGGCATATAAGAGAGAGATCTGACAGAAGTACAGATTTGGGAATCATCAACACGTGTGTGTTGAAATCAAGAACACGGGATGAAGTCAGCAAAGGTGGCATAGAGGGTGAGAAGGGGTGAAGTTTGAGAAATAAACACTTTTAAGGCTCTTGTTTCCTTAGCAACCAGAATGTAAGCATCTCAATGACAGAAATTATGACAATCATGTAGGATTCTTTAGTGCTAACAGATGAGATAGATATATATATATATAATATTACATACACATACAGACACACATATACACACACAATCATCAAAATAAAGGTACTAATGAATGAGTTGAATCATTTCCCAACATCTCTGCAGAGGGTCTCAGGGACAGTCTGCTCTGAGTTCTTATTCTATTCTGTGGCCTCCATTTTGGGTCCATCTTTATTCCCATCATAACCATAGGGTGGTGGGTATGCGATAAAGAACAAGGATGAAGCCTATCATTCCTTGACTTAACATTTCTCTTTCCTTCCTAGGATGTGAGTGATGTCATAAAAAGGTATGTGTAGGAGAGAACACAGGTTGGTTCCCTTGGGTTGACAAAAGATTCCTACACCCATAGAGTTATCTTGTGGTCCGTGGAAAAGGAAAAAAAGAAAAATTGCAAGGCAGGGAAGATTTAGGACTGTGATGTCTTGAGTTGCTCATCATGAGAATTTTTGGGTTCCCCCAAATAAAGGGAATGACCTAGTTTCTATGGTAAGAGAATTTCGGTGATTGGAGGGAGACGGTCACAAATTGGGGTAGTGTTTTAAAGAATAAAATTTGCAGTATCATTAACTCTCCTAGTATCCCATAATTGGACCCCTTTGCCACAAAACTCTACCTGTTTCCAGCACTGATTCTTGTAGCTTTTAGTATTTTATCAGAGGGAAGTTTCCCATCTGTCTTTCCCAAGATCCATGAATCAGTGCCTGAGGCATTTATTTGCCTTCAATTTCCCTTTCTCTCTTGGCTTTAGAAGAGTCCTGCCTTGCTACCTATTTCTCCTCGGACTTCCATTTTTTTCAAATCCAGTAAAAACATAGACATGAGGTCTTGAGAAGATTGGTTTTGGCCCTGGAAAAAAAACATATTCTCTTCTCTATCCCATACTCTAGAATCTCATCCATCGAGGTGACATTTGGGGTTGCCCACATACCTGGTACCTTTAAGCTTCTCACAGACACATGAAATATGGAGCCTGTTGTCACTTCTGAAGTGTTCACTCTTGGTTTGGAGGTGAAGATGTCTCCTTCTCCAACTGGCATGATATTCCCAGAGATAGTGCCTCCTTAAACACTGTTCTGCAGGGTTTTCTCTCTAGGCCTCTGGCAGATCCTAAGGCCTAAACTCACTCTTCAGAAGGAAGCCCTTTACTCAAAATTCTCAGAGCCCCAGCAGCAGGTTCCTGGTGTTCTCCCTGTCCACACACACATCTCCAGCCCCTTATAGTAGACCCTTAAGATGTCACTGACATTGTAAGCACTTTGTATCATTTTTAGAGGTAGCAAAAGGTTTCCTAGCCATTATTTAATTTTATATAATCTTAGGATGTAGAAAGAGAAGGGGGAGATTACTGTATTTTACAAAAACAAAACAAACTAAAATGAGTCTTTGAAGGGTTAGATCTTACCCAAATTTGCACAGATGGTGAGAATCTAGTTTCTAGTCCAGGTCTTCTGGTCCCAGTGCCAGAGCTTTTTGCAGAATGATGCTAATTTTCTTAAGGAAAGAATGCTGAAGTTCTCCCAGAGGCCTGGTCAATGAGGGGGACAGATGTTGGAGGAACCCAAGGCTGGCAGTGTAGGAGATTCATAAGGTCTGTTCTCTCTAGAAGTGAGTTCTGGGCCCTAAAGAAGCCAGAAGCTCTTCCTACCAAGCTGAAGAGTATGTTTCGAGTTCCAGATCTGAAAAGGATGCTGCGAGTGTTTAGAGGTGAGGAGATTCCGGGGACAGCTCTTCGATGTGGAATTCCTATAGCATAAGCAATAAATAGAGTATAGAGTTGGTGTTTGGGAATAGTGGTGCAGAGAGAGGTCAGAGAGGGAGGGGCATACCATGCTGAAGAAGATGCAGTTCATACCTAAGGGGGAATGAGATGGCCAGCTTGCATCCTTATAGAATTCCCTGCCTCACCCCTCAGTCAGTAAGGGAGAGACGGCAGACCTGACCTATGTCCATTCTGTACAACATAATGATCTGTTTATCTTTACAGAACTGACGGATGTCCAGAGCTACTGGGGTAAGTAGCAACCGTGGCCTCTTTGAGCTGACATGTTCTTATCCTTTCTTGTATGCTGCCCCCCACCCCCCCGCCGTGGCATACCCACACACACTCTCAGCTGCGAGGTGTTAATACCATCCCTCCATCCCCCCACATAGTTCCAGTTCTTCCACTTCTGTGTTTCTTCTCAGTGTCTTAAGACCCACGTACCATCCTCATCTGCTGATGTTGTACCTTTTCCCACAGTGGACGTGACTCTGAATCCACACACAGCTAATTTAAATCTTGTCATGTCTAAAAACCGAAGACAGGTGAGATTTGTGGGTGCCAAGCTGTCTGGGTCTTACCTGGAAGAGCATTATGACTGTGGTATCCTGGGATCTCAGCACTTCTCCTCCGGGAAACATTACTGGGAAGTGGATGTGGCCAAGAAGACTGACTGGATCCTGGGGGTGTGCAGTAATTCAGTGGAACCTACGTACTGTTTCAACCAGTTTACAAACAATCGAAATGTTTACTCCAGGTATCAACCTCAAAGTGGATACTGGGTGATTGGGCTACATCATAAACATGAATATAGAGCCTATGAGGAATCTTCCACTTCCCTGCTCCTCTCCATGATGGTGCCCCCTCGCCGTGTTGGAGTTTTCTTAGACTATGAGGCCGGCACTGTCTCCTTTTATAATGTCACGAACCATGGCTTTCCCATCTACACCTTCTCTAAATATTACTTTCCTACCACCCTTTCTCCATATTTTAATCCTTGCAACTGTGTAGTCCCGATGACCCTGCGTCGCCCAAGCTCTTGAACGTTCCATTGACTGCACCCATATCTGAGCAGGACCCTTCACTCTGAGATTCATCTGTACCTCAGTCTCTCCTTTCTGAACTTCTGTTTTCTCGCATTCTTACATCCTTCCCTCCAGCATTTACTCAGTGCCAAAATATACCCAGAGGTGATAGTGGACATCCCAAATTAATTACACATCTTGGGATGGGTAGGGGGTAGCTTTCAACATGTTACCATTAAGCATGATATTTGACGGAGTTTTTTGTTGTTGTTGATTCATGGGAGCAAATTCAGGAAGTTCTTTTCTATTAATTTGCTATAATTTTTTGTACTAAAAGGAAAATTGAATTTCAACAGATATGATCTATAATTACTGAGATAATCCTATGTCATTTTTATTCTGTTATTGGAGTACATTGATTTGTTTCCATTTCTAAATGCAACACAAAGTCCTGAAATAAATCACTATTCTGCATATGCAATACTGGATTTGTTTTTGCTAATACATTGTTTACATTTCATTTCCATCTCCATTTGTGAAAAAAATTGACCTATATTGTTACATTGTTGTCAGGTTTTATAAAATTCAATAAATAAGCAAAGAAATAACTGTGCTTTTGTGTAAGTATATACAGGATTGAGTGATAAAAACCATTATAATGTTAATTTTGGTGGCTTTAAATTCAAAGAAAGAAATTTTAACTTCAGTTTTCACTACAACCTTCATGGATTTAAAAATTTAAGGGTAGTAGTTGAAAATTTAAAACAAATCTCCCAAATTCATTGAGGTAGAAAGGGGAGAAGAAAACGATCAATCCAAAACAGATTTTTCTCCCAGAATGGGAGGAAAATGTACGAAGAAAATATAAAGCACTTTTAGGAAGTGCTTTTTCCAGCTTCACCCCCTTTCTTTATGCTCAAACATAAACAGCTTGTGAATGAATGAGCTGCTATGACTTTGCTAGAGGTGATACATGCTTTTGAGCCAGCTGTAAAAGAAATTAGGAGGTGGATGTGAGTGTGGAAACAAATATCGAGGAGTTGACTAGAGCTGCTGTCCAATATGGTAGCCAAGAGCTACCAGTGGCTATTGAGTGCTTCAGATGTAACTAGTCTGAATTGAAGTGTGCTTTATGTCTAAAATGCACACCTGAGTTATATTTGTAGAAGAAGGTAATGGCAGAGAGAAGAAGATCTCAACATATTTAGAAATTTACGATGTGGAAGATCATAGGAAGGGATCATGGCCAGAGAAAATGATTCTGCCTAGTCTGGTCCCTGTCTTTAGCCCTCAGTCTGTTGGACACTTGACGACTCTTCATGGTTTGAGGAAATACTAACTAGTTCAGGGGCGCCTGGGTGGCTCAGTTGGTTGAGCGACTGCCTTCGGCTCAGGTCATGAGCCTGGAGTCCCGGGATCGAGTCCCACATCGGGCTCCCAGCTCAGCAGGGAGTCCGCTTCTCCCTCTGACCCTCTTCCCTCTTGTGCTCTCTATCTCTCATTCTCTCTCTCTCAAATAAATAAATAAAATCTTAAAAAAAAAAAAATGCTAGTTCATCCTCAGGGGTCAGCTCTGGTGTCCGTAGGGAGATGACATACAGGTTATAGTAAAAGCCCAGTATTGGTTTGTTCTAAGTCAGAATTCTATTTGGGAGATGAAATTTGTGGGGGACCAGAGGCCAAATGCACAGTCTTCATCCTGATTTGCATTTCAACTGGAAGAACTATAAAAGGAGATAGAGTGGGCAAATAGTTGCCCACAAAGTTGGTGGGGGTTTGAGGATGAGAGATGATAAAAGAATCTGCCTGAGTAATTTCTCCCTTCCACTTATTTTCCCATGTAATAAGTTCCAGGTGAAAAGGAGTTAGCCCAGCTGTCCTCCACCAGAGGAGGTATTCAATGAATGACCTTAGACAATAAGGAAAGACAAAAGTACTTGCTGGGATTGTGTAGGTGAGATCTGGGGAAGGTTGTCCAGTGAGATTTGGAGGAATGAATTTGCAGCCCTGACTCTCCTGGGGGGTCTGGGCAGGGGCCTACTGGCCTTGACATTTTGGCATAATATGGTAGACTAACCTGCTATGAAAAGTAAATCCAAAAACATAATGGATCAAATACTAAAGAAGTTAATTTCTTTCAAAAATCAAACATGAGTGTAATTAGTGCTACATGGCCCTCTTCCATGTGGGTTTCATGCACCAAGCTTTCTTCCGTCTGAGTCTGCCATCCCCAAAGACAGTATTGCCCTAAGTAAGCATCCAGCCAGCAGAAGGGTAAAAAAACCTGGAGAGGCACTTTCCTTCTTAAATTCCTCACTTAAATATGGGATTCATAATTTCTGCTCACTTTCTCGTGCTGAGAATAGCCATGGGGCCGCACCTAACTGCAAGGAAAACTATAAAACTGTATTATGTACAACAAGTTTAAGGGAAGGAAAGTGCAGATTTTTGTCGAGACCTATTAGTCTGTTCCATGGGGTACAAGGAGTGCCTAGAACCTTAGACAATTCCTCTCATTATAGAAGACCCAGGACCTTAGCTTTTTTTTCTGGAACTGTGTTTATTCCATCCTGTAGCCTAAGATTGATAAAGGGGAAGAGATGAGAAGTTTTGCTGTCATACACATGGGTGTGGGCTAAGTAACAACCATCATTTTAGTTAAAGGCCAAGCTAAGATCAAATGGTAAATAAGTTTAAGGAGACAGAACAAAAGGAATGGAACTGGTGGAGAGTGTATTAGGATTTTCAGGAGGCTGGGGACAACCAAATCTGGAATGTATGCTCTGATCTGATTGGATGGACTACTGAACAGATTGCAAATGGGTTCTGTCTCTCACCTTGTCATTTCCAGGAAAGACCTCTGCAGAGATTGAAGTACTAATGAGAGCTGAGCTGAGGGGGTTGGGCCTATGGACATATATAAAGACATGAAATATGCAAAAGGAACTAGAGGCACAAACATGGATGGACAGAGTAACTTACTTAAATAAGAAATAGATGTTCATTTAGTTATTGAATAATTAAGTTAAAGGGGAAAGAAATAGATGTTCAATAATTACAAGGAGTTGAATATCAATAAACTATTGAAATGTTTACTGAAAGAAATTAAGTTCTCGTTGTGATGTGATGTGATGTGATAATTCCATATCATAAGAGGTAAGGCCTCTATTCACCAATAACAGTAAAATGGTTGATAGGAGGCTCTCTATCTCTCATTCTCTCTCTCTCAAATAAATAAATAAAATCTTAAAAAAAAAAAAATGCTAGTTCATCCTCAGGGGTCAGCTCTGGTGTCCGTAGGGAGATGACATACAGGTTATAGTAAAAGCCCAGTATTGGTTTGTTCTAAGTCAGAATTCTATTTGGGAGATGAAATTTGTGGGGGACCAGAGGCCAAATGCACAGTCTTCATCCTGATTTGCATTTCAACTGGAAGAACTATAAAAGGAGATAGAGTGGGCAAATAGTTGCCCACAAAGTTGGTGGGGGTTTGAGGATGAGAGATGATAAAAGAATCTGCCTGAGTAATTTCTCCCTTCCACTTATTTTCCCATGTAATAAGTTCCAGGTGAAAAGGAGTTAGCCCAGCTGTCCTCCACCAGAGGAGGTATTCAATGAATGACCTTAGACAATAAGGAAAGACAAAAGTACTTGCTGGGATTGTGTAGGTGAGATCTGGGGAAGGTTGTCCAGTGAGATTTGGAGGAATGAATTTGCAGCCCTGACTCTCCTGGGGGGTCTGGGCAGGGGCCTACTGGCCTTGACATTTTGGCATAATATGGTAGACTAACCTGCTATGAAAAGTAAATCCAAAAACATAATGGATCAAATACTAAAGAAGTTAATTTCTTTCAAAAATCAAACATGAGTGTAATTAGTGCTACATGGCCCTCTTCCATGTGGGTTTCATGCACCAAGCTTTCTTCCGTCTGAGTCTGCCATCCCCAAAGACAGTATTGCCCTAAGTAAGCATCCAGCCAGCAGAAGGGTAAAAAAACCTGGAGAGGCACTTTCCTTCTTAAATTCCTCACTTAAATATGGGATTCATAATTTCTGCTCACTTTCTCGTGCTGAGAATAGCCATGGGGCCGCACCTAACTGCAAGGAAAACTATAAAACTGTATTATGTACAACAAGTTTAAGGGAAGGAAAGTGCAGATTTTTGTCGAGACCTATTAGTCTGTTCCATGGGGTACAAGGAGTGCCTAGAACCTTAGACAATTCCTCTCATTATAGAAGACCCAGGACCTTAGCTTTTTTTTCTGGAACTGTGTTTATTCCATCCTGTAGCCTAAGATTGATAAAGGGGAAGAGATGAGAAGTTTTGCTGTCATACACATGGGTGTGGGCTAAGTAACAACCATCTTTTTAAGTTAAAGGCCAAGCTAAGATCAAATGGTAAATAAGTTTAAGGAGACAGAACAAAAGGAATGGAACTGGTGGAGAGTGTATTAGGATTTTCAGGAGGCTGGGGACAACCAAATCTGGAATGTATGCTCTGATCTGATTGGATGGACTACTGAACAGATTGCAAATGGGTTCTGTCTCTCACCTTGTCATTTCCAGGAAAGACCTCTGCAGAGATTGAAGTACTAATGAGAGCTGAGCTGAGGGGGTTGGGCCTATGGACATATATAAAGACATGAAATATGCAAAAGGAACTAGAGGCACAAACATGGATGGACAGAGTAACTTACTTAAATAAGAAATAGATGTTCATTTAGTTATTGAATAATTAAGTTAAAGGGGAAAGAAATAGATGTTCAATAATTACAAGGAGTTGAATATCAATAAACTATTGAAATGTTTACTGAAAGAAATTAAGTTCTCGTTGTGATGTGATGTGATATGATAATTCCATATCATAAGAGGTAAGGCCTCTATTCACCAATAACAGTAAAATGGTTGATAGGAGGACAAACTTACAACATTAGTAAAACTGTTGTAGAAGATAATACCAAGAGATGTTCTTGAAATGAAAATGTAATGGTCTGAAGGCCAGGGGCAGCTATTACCCTAGGAAGCCCAGAAGGAGAGCCACCTTTTTAATATCTCTCCCTCTGGCCCACATACACAGGCCACATATTTATGACTTTTCAAACCTGCACATCCCTTCCTCCATAATACCATCCCTAAATTAGGTTTGCACATGTGTTATTTCCAATAAATGAATTGTTAGCATTAGTGCACCA